CATCCTCCCTCCCTCGCTTCCTCCCCTTCCTCCCTCCCTTCCTCTTCGCAGATCTTGATGCTCGACGAAGCCACCTCCTCTCTCGACGCCGAGAGCGAACACAAGGTGCAGGAGGCATGCGACCGTCTCATGGTGAGGGGAGGAGGGCGAGGCGGAGGGGGGAATGGTGGGGAAGGAGGGATCAGGACGAGAGCCAGCGGGCAAGGATGTTAGGTATAGGGCTTGCGTTTGTGATAGAGAATGAAAGAGGATGTAACGAAACGCAAAGGATAAAGCGGATGGAAGCGGATACAAACGAGGAGGCTCACATAGCGGAAAAAATATACACATATATGAATGTGTATCAGGTGGGGAGGACGGTTGTGGTGATCGCCCACCGGCTGTCTACCGTGCGAAACGCGGCCAAGATCGTGGTCATGGGCGAAGGAGGCATCAAGGTGAGAGGCGAAGGCAGAGAGGCGGGGAGGTGAAGGTCTAGCAGTGAGAGCTTTCTGATAGAGGGAAGGATTAGGCTCGTACAGCGGGATACTTTGCAGGTAGAGCTAACTGTCTCCCACCTGATCTTCCTCCTCGTAAACAATTTCCCCTCCCGGGAACCCTCTCCTTCGCCTTATTGCGTTCTTTCTGAACAGAACACGGGCACACACGAGGAGCTTATGAAACACTCGGACATATACCGTCAGCTCATTCAACGTCAGATCGTCTCCTCCGCCTTTCCGTCCCCCTCGCCATCTCCAGTAGAGTTTCTTGGTCCTCAAACAGAGCCGTGTTCGCCATATCACGTACCAGCGCCTTCTTCGATGCACACGTTATCTCCCGAATTGTAAGCTGCCACATATCATGCAATATACAAGACCAAATTTGACGACACCAATCATACTTCCCGCTTGGCATCATAGGAGCTAAAGAGCAAACAAATGGCGAAGATGCAAGCCACGACGGAGGTTGATTGTTCTTGGTTGCTTTCACTTTCTGTTTGCATTTTCTCTCTCGTAAATGTGTCTCTTAATGTAAAGGTTTGTAGCCTGCCTCATCAAAGACTGGAAAGGAAAAACTTTACTACTTAAATCGAATGACAATCGAAGCGTTATCGATATTACACTTGGTGGCTTTGTCAGCGTGGTTTGTATTATCTAGCATTTTCTATCTTTGTGGGTGTGACTTGCCGGGCTTCCCTTCGACTTTCGCCACTATAAGATACTCCACTTTTTGTGGCGCCTATCTTGTTTTAGGTGCACTCGAATTGAGGACGCCATAAAGGTGATTACGAATCTTAAATGAGATAATGTGTAGTCTGTGATCGTCTTAATACTGTGATTTGACAAGTTGTTCGACGATACATTCGAAGAGCACCTTTCTTCGCTTCTTAACGGCCATTTAGCATGCACAAAAAGGTCTTATCCGCCCTTTCAAAGAAAATTACCACGATATTTCATCAGTTATTGAGATGCCTGCGAGCGAGGACTCATTTCAGTGGGAAAAATGGAACACGGTCGCCGCTATCGCCAAAATAAACGGTCGATGGCGTCATTGTTGTTCGTCACCTGACGTGCTGGTTGGAGGGTACGAACTCCGACAGCCACTCTTCTCTTTACCACCAACTCCGAGATAAGCACAACGCAAGGGCCAGGACATAGAGCTATATATTCTGTCATTATAGACAGTGTTCCTGACTATTTCTATACCCGAGAGGACGTTGCTCTGCGTAAACTTGGAAAGGTCTTTGTTCAAGTCCGTCATTGTGCGATGTGCGAAAGCCCAGCTTAAGCTTTGTGGTGGGTTTTAATGACCGTCCAATATTCCGAAGACGGCCATTCCCTCAACTTCTTGCAAGCCCTTGCGACTTTTAAAAAAATACATCAGTAAACTTATTCTTTTACTTGAAAACCATAAGCATGCTAACTCATCACTTTGCATCATGAAACATTCCAAGGTTACCTCCATCTTTGCTGCTACCTTTGAAAGAATGCGTACGCATCTCTATTCGAGGAGCAGCGCCAAAGCTCTTGGCATTGGTCTGTGTGTTCTAGCCTTTGCTCCTGAGACAAATGCTAATCCTGTGCTGGCGAGTTGGAATGAACTGGTTATGAGCGCGGTCCAGTCTGGCTTCATGTCAATGGTATGTTGGTAGGGAAGAAAATCATTGGAAATTAATCACACACGCTTAACCGCCTTTTTACTCCTCTACAACGAACTAGCGAGGTGCCCGGGCTGCGACGGCTGCCCATACAGCTCAATGGTGCGCTATCACGGATGTACTTGCCACGCACAATCTGACTCCGAAAGATCCTCAGGCAAAATCAAATGCTTACGTCGACGAGCTGACCACCGCTGTGGCCAGCGCCGGAAAAACTGTGTTGGACAGTATGATGGCGAGTTTCAATGAAACGATTGATGCCCTGTACATGCAGCAAGCTAACCCCGCCCTCGCGGCAGCCATTGCCATCGGGGAAAGCTGCGGCCAAGACATCATCGACGCCCGTGCCGACGACGGCTCGAGCGCCATGGGTCCCCCCTACCTTGGCGACAACAGCACGGACGGAATGTGGCGCCCCACACCGCCGGCCTTCTCCCCGGCGTTGATGCCGACATGGGCAAACGTAACGCCGTGGGCCATGACAGTGGGCTCCCAATTCCGTGCTCCTCCTCCTCCCACGCTGGGCAGCGACGAGTACGCCCAGGCCTACTTGGAGGTGAAGAGCGACGGCAGCATGACGGGGAGCGGACGTTCCGAGGAAGAGTCCACAATCGCCGTCTTCTGGTCCGGGAACCAGATGCTCAGCCTCCACAACATGATTCGGCAGATCACTGCGTCCATGGACTTGGTCGAGGCCGGTCCCTTTTTCAAGGGTGGGGCCGTCGCTTTCGCGGACGCCCAGATCGCCGCGTGGGACTCCAAATACCACTACAGCTTCTGGCGTCCCGTGTCGGCCATCCGCCTTGGGAACGGGGACGAGTATCCCCTGGCCTCTGACGCAAGTTGGACGCCGCTCCGGCCCACGCCCATCCACCCCGACTACGTCGCAGGGCACGCCACCACCACCGCCTCGGTGGTGCAGGCGCTGCGCTTCCTCCTGGGGGGGGAGGACACGGTCGACGTCACCTTGCCGTCCTACGCCATGCAGATGGGGAACAGCACCGTCCCAGGCCCCCGGCGTTACACGAGCCTGACGACGATTGCCAACGAGGTGGCGAGTTCCCGCGTCTGGGTCGGGGCGCATTTCCGCTTCGCCTGCGATGCCGGCGTGAAAATGGGCCAAGGCATAGGGATTCAATCCGTCCGGGACCTGGTTGGGTGCGGGGAAGGCGCCTATCTCTGGGGGGAAGCCTGCTTGCCCTGTCAAGAGAACACGTATTGGGCCGACGCCCACACGATGACGGATGCCTGCCTTCCCTGCCCGCCAGGACAGGTCTCGAGGGAGGGAGCGGGATCCTGTGTGCCGGCACTGAGGGACTTGACGATCGTCGGATTGGCCGGGATGGAGGCGCAAGCCATGAGCAAGGCAACGACCGCCAGGGTCCGGCCGTTGCGGCGCGGGAAACGCGGGGTTTTTCGGATTGTGCAGTCCAACAACGGGACCGCCAGCCCGGACAATGTGGTCGTGTCTTTGACGCTCCCTGCAGCCACGGAGGTGAAATATCTCCGGTCGCAGGCGAAGCCCGCCCTGGAGCCGTGGGACGGGAGCAAACGGTATCGGAAGAAGCCGATGGTGGATGGGAATGGCACTACCTTGGTCTGGCAGTGGGCCCCACTGCCCGCCAACGGCGAGCGGGTCTTCACGGTGAAGATCTCCGTGAAGCGCACCGCCCCTTCTCCGTTGACCTTCGTCGCGTCCACGTACTATTTGGACGAGGACAACACGATCTATGGACGGGTGGACACGCCCGTGGTGGTGCCGGTCCAAGGTAAATAAGCCGGCAGGTGGGGATGTAGGCACCCTGGACTTCTACCAGGGATTAAATATGGCCACAGGGAGAGTGGAAGAGGGGATAAATGGGGTAGGCCACACAATCGACCCCAGCATATTAGGCAGCATTACTGTGGAAGACCGAGGCGACACTTATACCGCGACAGCCATAAAGTATCTGCAATGAACCAGAGCCTTTTCTCATGTACCATTTGAAAAGGCCATGGACCATCCTTTGAGGTAGAGGCTACCCGTGAAACCTAGGAGAAGAATTTTTAGAGAGTATCGTAAACTAGATCCAAGAGATGGAGTAGGCAGGAAGTAAAAAGAGAGGGCGAGAAAAGATAACGACGTGATCTTTCGCGACTGTTTGCCACTCCATAGATGTCTTTTCTCCTTTTTCTTCTCACATGCGCCATTTACGCACAAGAGCAAGGATGGTCATATATATAGGGAAAAGCACTATTTCTGCTGGGAAAACAGGTGTGTCTGGCCACATTTTCCAGAAAAGTGAGGAATTAAACGCGAAAATTGACGGCAGATTGTTTTTCAAGAAAAAAAAAGAGTGAAGCGTTGATCGCAAAGCAGTCATTCCTATAACAACAACGGACATTGATTCAAAGATCGGACGCCGATAAATATTAAAGATCCTCTCGAACAAGATTTAAACTTTTCTTTAATCTTCTGCGTGTCTCAGCGGCATCAAACCTTCAAGACTGTATGTTCTCTATAACATTAGAGCCTTTCGACTTCTTGTATCAAACCCAGCTCCCTTTAACCCACAACAGTTTATCATGCTGTCCGCTGCGCATCACGTCGTCCAAAACTTGTGGTGTTGGCTCTTAAATGGCGCTTTGACGTCGACAGTCAACCTCCTCCCCTTCCTTCCTTCCTTTCTGCCTTCCACTCCGGAACCTGCTATCGTCACTTTTGTCGTGCTCGTGGTGCACACGGCGCTGATCTCGCTCCTATGCTACAACATACCCTATCTTCTACTATATGCATGCGGGGGTCTGCTTGAATACCGAATGTAAGTGGAGCTTTTTTAAAAGGAGAGGGCATGGGGGAAGGATTTCCGTTCTATGCGGGACAATCACGGCATGAGAGGAGTTTGATAGTGCAGGCACATCCGTCAATGAAATGCTTACCTTCAATGCTGGCATCGGCGCCTGGATCTTGCAGGCTGTGTTCATGTACGCTTCTTACCCTAACAAGCACCACCGACCCTCTTTTTCAAAAGCCAACCTCAGAAGCTACCTACCACCATCTCTCTAGCCTCTATGGTACAGACCGGAGTTCGCATGGTAGTCATGGTACTATCATTAGGATTTGTGCTGTGTTTTGCGGGCGGGCCGGAAGCGATGCTAGACTACCGGTAGGTTTGAAGGGAGGAAGGCCAGGGAGACTATCTCCTTCTAGAAGGAGAAAATAAGGAAAATTTGGCGGTAAAAATCTTGCTAGAGGATTCTAAAGATACGTTATTACAGGTATGTTTATAATTCCATTCTATTTTCCTCAAATTCCTCGTGCTACCGCGACCCCTCTCCTTCACTCTCAGACCGGACTTGATGTCGGCATTGGTTTCGGCGATGAATGCGAGTGAAGGAAGGAGGGCGGGAGGAAGGGAGAAGCAGGGAGGAGGGATGAAAGGAGGCCCAGCATTTGTCCTCGATTCGTTGGGGAGTATTGTGCGAGATCTGCTGCTCTGTCAGGTGGGTGGGGTGGGAGGGAAGGAAGGACGGAGGGATGTAGGGAGGGAAGGAAGGAGGGAGGGATGTAGGGAGGGAAGGAAGGAGGGAGGGGTGTAGGGAGGAAAGAAAGGAGAGAGGAAGAGGAGGAGGATGGAGACATGCTAACCGTCACTGGGAACGCTATACCGACTTGTCTTGATCCTTTCATTTCCTTCCCTTCCATCCTCCCTCCC